AGAGCTCAGTAAGGAACACTATGACATCATCACTATGACAGCCAATCAGGTGAGAGCTCAGTAACAAACACTATGACATCATCACTATGACAGCCTCTTAAATGAAACATCAGTTTCTTCTTTTGTTAAGGGTTTTTGTGATAAAACCTGTTTTTCTGAGTCTGATGTGATAAATCTAACTTTGCTGTGAACACGAGCTCAGGCTTTACAACAAAACATTTCCTTGGCAGCTGTAACGTTGTTGTTCTGCAGTACACATTTCTCTGCTGTAACGTTTAGTTAAAATCCAGACTGAGCTGTGCCTCTTCATGTTCAGATGGCAGCAGAGCTGAGAGAGCAGCTGCTGAGCAAAGAGAAAGAACACGAAGTGGCTCTGCACACCCTGAAGGACCAGGTAACAGAACACAGTGCTTCAGTGTGTCTAAAACCAGAACAACTGAACAAGCTGAACACTTCCTAACACCTGTCAGTCAGTGCTGAGGGTACAGAACCCGTTGAACACTTCCTGACACCTGTCAGTCAGTGCTGAGGGTACAGAACCCGTTGAACACTTCCTGACACCTGTCAGTCAGTGCTGAGGGTACAGAACCCGTTGAACACTTCCTGACACCTGTCAGTCAGTGCTGAGGGTACAGAACCCATTGAACACTTCCTAACACCTGTCAGTCAGTGCTGAGGGTACAGAACCCGTTGAACACTTCCTTACACCTGTCAGACAGCACTGAGGGTACAGAACCCATTGAACACTTCCTGACACCTGTCAGTCAGCGGTACAGAACCCATTGAACACTTCCTGACACCTGTCAGTCAGTGCTGAGGGTACAGAACCCGTTGAACACTTCCTAACACCTGTCAGTCAGTGCTGAGGGTACAGAACCCATTGAACACTTCCTGACACCTGTCAGTCAGTGCTGAGGGTACAGAACCCATTGAACACTTCCTGACACCTGTCAGTCAGTGCTGAGGGTACAGAACCTAACACACTGCTCCAGATGTTTTTCTGTCCAAATCACTGAAAGATTAAGAACTCCTTGATTCAAAACATTTTCTGTTTTTAATCCTTAAAAAGTATTTTTGTTTTCAAGTTTTGATAGTTTTATTGGCTGCAGGGTTTCTGCTTCTGTGCTTCTGACCTTGTGGTGTTCCTTCCTTTAAACTCCTCTGTTTTCTGATGTTCTCTGATGTTCTCTGATGTCTCATGTTCTGTGTTTCTGGTTGCTGCCCCTGTGCCTCCTCTCTGCCCTCTTCTTGCTGCCCTTGTCTCTGCTGCCCCCTGCCTGTGGGCTGATGGTACTGCAGGCAGTCAATCAGAGCGCAGTCAGTCAAGAACAGGTGGACAACATCCTGCAGGAGAACGAAGCTCTGAGGACAAACCTAGCTGCTCTAGAACAGGTAACCTTGGAGAACCCCATCAAGAACTTTCACCCTGAAGAGTTGGAACCATAAAGCTCATGACTCAGGTCATGTCTGAGGACTAACATCCACATCAACCAAAAGAGCACGCTTACAAACTTCTAAACTAACCTAAACTAGATGTTCTCACAGCTACTAATTAGTTTGACAAAAATCCAAAGAACCCAAAACACATTTAATATGTGGAGAACGTTCCAAACAGAACTTCACTGGAGCTCTGTCAGAACCAAACTTAGCTTCAGACTTCACCACTGACTATAGCACCAAGTTAGTGCGGGGCAGAATTTCRGGTGGTGTTGCAGTGCTGTGGCATAAAAGATACGATCAGCTGATTAAAGTGATCAGACTGGACGTTGATTGGGCAATAGGACTCAAGTTCAGTTCTGGAAATAAAAAGTTTATTATACTGAATATACTGTATATACACCTTACGAAAACCCAGAGAATGAAGATGAATATCTTAATAGGCTGGCATATGTTGTGTCATTTATCC